AATCTCTACCTTTATAGTTCAGTTTAGTATCTCATCGGAAACGTTTAAACTTTAACCTTGACAGTCTTTTTTTTTTTTTTTTTTTTTTTTTTTGAGACGGAGTTTCGCTCTTGTTACCCAGGCTGGAGTGCAATGGCGCGATCTCGGCTCACCGCAACCTCTGCCTCCTGGGTTCAGGCAATTCTCCTGCCTCAGCCTCCTGAGTAGCTGGGATTACAGGCACGCACCACCATGTCCAGCTAATTTTTTGTATTTTTAGTAGAGACGGGGTTTCACCATGTTGACCAGGATGGTCTGGATCTCTTGACCTCATGATCCACCCGCCTCGGCCTCCCAAAGTGCTGGGATTACAGGCGTGAGCCACCGCGCCTGGCCGACAGTCTTTCTTAATCCAAGACAAAGATTAAAGGGAGAAAAGGAATTTGTTAGGAGCCTAGCACACTTGGCGGCCTTCCATCAGGCTTAGGGAATACTGACCCCTGGTGGCCAGATAGAGAATTCAGAGGAGGCCATGGGCTGGCACTTTGTTAAAAATCCTTAACTTACTCGCCACACGTCCATGGTAAAATCGCGAGTGGATCCTGCCTCTTCCAGGCGGTTCCACATGGGGCCTCAAAGAGCTCAAAGGACCCTCGGCCCTCCGAAGTCGCCTCGTCTCGTAGCCTGTTGCTAGGTGGCGCCTCAGGGACAAGACCAGGTCCCATCACGTGGTCCTGTAGGGTTTTGCCCCACGAGGCCACGCTCTGCCAGACCTGGCCTTCCTCCACCTCAGCGCAAACCCTAGGCCGCCAGCGCCAGGCCGCCAGCCCTTGCGGGGCTTAAAGCCGCAACGGTCCCGGCACCGTGTGGCGGACTGCCCCGGCAGCGCTCCGAGCCTCTTGGGTCCCCCTCCAGGCCTGGAGGCCAAATATCCTCACCGCTCCTTTTCTCCCAAAACGCCGCGACCTTAACCGTCACGCCCAAGACTGGGCTGGCCGAGGAGCGCCTGGATATGAAGGCGGAAGGCTTGGCTCGGGGGAGCGGGTGGCCCTGCGGTGTCGGCCGTCAGCCACAGAGGCCGCCTCTTCCACTCCCTCGCCCACCACAAGGCGTACAGCGGTGAGGGGGGTGGACCTGCCCAGGGACCCGGCTCTGGGCGGAGACTTTACGGGCGTGGAGCCTCAGGCCGGCCGCTACTGGTGGCTCATACCAGTAATCCTAGCACTTTGGGAGGCCGAGGTGGGCAGATCACTTGAGCTCAGCAGTTCAAAACCAGCCTGGGCATCATGGCAAAACCTCGTCTCTACCGAAAATACAAAATATTAGCCAGGCTTGGTGTGGTCCCAGCTACTTGGGGGGCTGAAGTGGAAGGATTGCTTGAACCTAGGAGGTTGCAGTGAGCTGTGACTGGTCTACTGCATTCCAGCCTGAGTGATAGAGTGAGACTCCTATATAAAAAAAAAAAAAAAGTGGTTTGTGAGGGCTCTTCTTGGCAGAGGTTGAAGAGTTGTTGCCCTAATTTGTAGTAGTATTAAATAGTTTCCCCCAAATTAACATTGTTTTTAAAATTGAGTACAAGTTTCAAAGTATTAATATCAAGAAAAAATATGGGCCTTGGTGAAGTGGTTCAGGCCTGTAATCCCAGCACTTTGGGAGTCCACAGCGAGAGGACTGCTTGAGCTCAGGAGTTTAAGGCCAAAAAAATTAAAGATTTCTTTGTTTTGAGACAGGGTCTTGTTCTGTTGCCCATGCTAGAGTGCAGTGGGGCAATCTCAGCTCATTGCAACCTCCGCCTCCCGAGTTCAGGCTATTCTCCTGCCTCAGCCTCCCGAGAAGCTGGGAATACAGGAGTGTGCCACCATGCCTGGCTAATTTTTGTGTTTTTGGTTGAGACGGGGTTTCACCGTATTAGACAGTCTAGTCTTGAACTCCAGACCTAAAGTGATCTGCCTGTTTCAGTCTCCCAAAGTGCTGAGATTACAGGCATAGGCCACTGCGCCTGGTCCTAAAAATTAAAGATTTCTTAACATATTGTATTTAGTTCTGTTTTGTATTATTTATTCATTTATTTATTTATTTTTGAGAGATGGGGTTTTACCATGTTGGTCAGTCTGGTCTTGAACTCCCAACCGCAAGTGATCTGCCCGCCTCAGCCCCCCGAAGTGCTGCGATTACAGGCACGAGCCACTCTGCGCCCACCTGTTTTGTATTATTTAACACTATTTTACTTATTCTTTTCAAAGGGTCTTCTAGATGTTCTGAATTTGGGGACACTGTTTCAATACTTTTTTTTACCCTTGAGACAGAGTTTCATTCTTGTTGCCCAGGCTGGAGTGCAATGGCGCCATCTCAGCTCACTGCAACCTCCACCTCCCAGGTTCAAGTGATTCTCCTTCCTCAGCCTCCTGAGTAACTGGGATTACAGGCATGTGCCACCATGCCATGCTAATTTTTTATTTTTAGTAGAGATGGAATTTCAGCATGTTGTTCAGACTGGTCTGAAATTCCCTACCTCAGGTGATCTGTCCACCTTGGCCTCCCAAAGTGCTGGGATTACAGGCATGAGCCACCAGGCCCAGCCTTCAATACTACTTTTAACCTTTCTTTCAACTTCTTTTATCCAGCTCTGAAATAAAAGCAAGTAGACCTACATATTCTCTGGTGAATAGATTTTGGAATCTATTTTATCATTTTGTAGGATATGAAAGAACAAAAGAAGGGCCCAAGTTATATAATTCTTTTATTTTCTGTGTGAATATTTTTAAACTTTGAGAATCTGGAACTCAAAATGTTCTTTATATGAAGTGTACGAAGATTTTGAAACCTATCCAATAGTCCCACAGATGGTTTTTTTTTTTTTTTAAATAAACAGAAATTGACCCTTCTGGTTTTGAAGCTTAAAATTTAGGGAACCCCGCCCCCAAGACCTCTCAGAAAGTATCAAAGAACTGAAAGTCACCAGATTATTGCATATGAATTTTGGTGTGCCACTACTCAATCCATAGCCAACATTAAACCCACATAATATCCTTTTAGATATACGTTTATATATGTGTGTGTATTATGTGCAATTTTTTTTTCAGAGACAGAGTCTGGCTCTGTTGCCCAGGGTAGAGTGCAGTGGCACAATTATAGTTCACTGTAGCCGCAAACTCCTCAAGCATTCCTCCTGCTTCAGCCTCCCCAGTAGCTGGGGACTATGGGTGTGTACCACCATGTCTGGCTAATTTTCATTTTTTATAAAGCCAGGGTCTTGTTATGTTGTCCAGGCTGGTCTTGAACTCCTGGGTTCAAGGGATCCTCTTGCTTTGGCCTCCCAAAGTTCTGGGATTACAGGCATGAATAAACTGCACCAGGCCACTATGTATAATTTTAAAAGAGAATCGTACCATTTTGTTTGGTAACTTCCATTTTTACTTAAAATATGACTATCTTTGCATGTGAATAGATGCCTTTTAGCAAGTCATTTGTACTTTTTTTTTTTTTTTTTTTTTTTTTTTGGAGACGAAGTTTTGCTCTTGTTGCCCAGGCTGGAGCGCAATGGCACCATCTCGGCTCACCACAACCTCCACCTCCCGGGTTCAAGCAATTCTCCTACCTCAGCCTGCCTCTTGAGTAGCTGGAATTACAGGCATGTGCCACAACGCCCAGCTAATTTTGTATTTTTAGTAGAGATGGGATTTCTCCGTGTTGGGTCAGGCTGGTCTCAAATTCCTGGCCTCAGGTGATCTACCTGCCCGCCTCAGCCTCCCAAAGTGCAGGGATTATAGGTGTGAGCCACTATGTGTCATTTGCACTTTTTTAGAGGGAGTACATTATTGCATTGGATGTTTAATACTACTAACCAATTCGCTCTCTACTACTAACCAATTCTCTCTCCTCTCTTCTCTCTTCTCTCTTCTCTCTTCCCTCTCTCTCTCCCCCCCTCCTCCTCTTTTTTCTTTTGTTTTGAGATGGAGTTTCGCTCTTGTTACCCAGGCTGGAGTGCAATGGTGCCATCTCGGCTCATTGCAGCCTCTGCCTCCCGCGTTCAAGCGATTCTCATGCCTCAGCCTCTCCAGTAGCTGGAACTACAGATGTGTGACACCACGCCTGGCTAATTTTTGTATTTTTAGTAGAGATGGGGTTTCATCATGTCGGCCAGGCTGGTCTCAAACTTCTGACCTCAAGTGGTCCTCCCACCTCAGCCTCCCAAAGTGCTGGGATTACAGTCATGAGCCACCAGTACCGGCCACCAATTCTCTTTTGTTAATATTTGAGGTTTTATTTGTTTGTTTGTTTGCTATTAAAGCTTTGAGCATACATCTCTATGCTCTAATCTGATTATTTCTTCAGGATATAGTCCTAGAAGTGGAACTGCTGGGATCACAAAGGGTACAAAAGTTTTTGAAGAGCCAACAGCCTTCCAGAAAGGCTGTATGAATTCTAAACAGCAGCATATTTGTGTGACCCTATTTCTCCATTCCCCTAGCAACTCTAGAATTATTATTATTATTATTATTTTTAGCTAATTTGGTAGGTGGGGGAAAAAAGACACCCTACTGATATAAAATGAACAATTTGTGATATTTAAAAGACACCCTGCTGATATAAAATGAACCGAGCTTTCAGCTGCCTCTGGCTCCCTGGAGGATCCGGGGTAAAGAAACATAAAATCGGTGGCGTTTGGCTCTGGGTATTCTCAGTGAGATGGAGAGGTAAATTACAGCAAGCTGCTTATTCTCCCCCGTCCGAAAAAGGATGGGAAAGGCCATCGGTAGGGGAAAGGAATTAAGAACATTCTTTTATGAGAAAGGTAGTTGTTACGAGAAGGTTTTAAGGTTTTAAACTTTAGGCGGGTATGTCATTCCAGATCAGCTGAAACTGCTTTCGGTCCTGACCACTCTTCACGGTTGAGCCCTAAGTAGCCAAAGGGCAGCCAGGAGCGGCCGGGTAGGAGGACCCCGGCAGCCGCCACGCCGTCCCACAATGCCCCGCTCGCACCACCCTGAGGGCGGAGAGAAAGGACCGCTGCTGGGGATGGGGCTGCGGCGGCGAGCGCCGAGAAGTGCGCACGCGCACTGACCCCGCGGGCCCTAGCAACCAGAGCAGTGACAGTAGCAACCGCCGTTATGGTGAGTACCTTTCGGGCCGCGTAGCCAAAGCTGAGAGAAGATTGGGAGTGGAAAAGGGTGACTGTGGAGTGTTGAGTGTCTGGGGGTCCTTAAACAGCGGAAGGGAGCCGGTAGCTGAAGCTAGCTCTGTGGAGTCAGGGGCCCGAGGAGAAAGAGAAGCCCCGGCCGGGGGTGGTCTGGGGTGAGGGCGGCCTGGGGTGGATCGGAGGAAGGGTTAAGGGTTAAGGTGGAGGGACTCTGACAAGAGAAAAGGGAGGGCGAAGAGCAAGACGTTCTCCAAAAAGAGCGCATTGAAGTGGGAAGGGTGATGGGAAGGAGAGTGTAGATAAAGATATCCCTTTACATAAAAGTAATTTTAGTGACCCCCCTCCCCCCTCGTCGAGATGCAGGGAGGGGCTGGTTACCAGAAGGGTCTGTAAAACACGGATTGCAGCAGTATTCATAACCTGTGATGTAGCCAGGTTGCCTTCTGAATCACCACGAGTGCAATGATTCGGTAACTGTAAAACACACTCTGATGGATATATTAGAGCAGTGATTCTCAAATTTCAGTATGCATAGGTATGGGCTTGTTGGAATGCAGATTATGAATTCAGGAATGTGCATTTCGACAACACACCTCAATTGATTATAAAATTGGGAGGAATCCCACCACACTGAGAAATGCTGTTGCCTTAGGTTTTAAATCTACCAGCTGTCTATCCAATCACAGCTCTTTTTGAAGTAATGGTTTTACCTAGAGATGCTCCTCAATTCTTACTTGAAGTATGCACTCTCTTGCTTACATACTTGGTAGCTCTATCTAGTTGTCTGAAAAAGACCACAAACCCAGCCAGAGCTACTGAGCAAAGTCTGTGATGTCCTACGGGATAGAGATGTTTATGAAGAAGAAGCATAATTACTTGTTTTCTTTTTGTGATGCCAGTGCTATATAACTGGGCAGAAGTTGAGCCCAGGAGATGGAAATGATGAGGAAGTCATGCCTGCCTTCAACATGATTAAATACCACTCTTTACCAAGTAGTTTCCCCGCTGCTTTCCTTACTTTGTTCCACAGGCAGTTAGCTAAAAAACACTGCCAAGGAAAGCTAAAAGCTCTGGACCTAGGTTTATATTGAGGTGCAGAAACGCTCAGACCTAAATATTTATGAAAGTATTATGGCAATTGTTGAAAATCTTCAAATAGAGAATCAGAATCAGTACAGATATAAGTTTTCTAATGATGACAGGGATACAGTCTAAGAAGCACATCATTAGGTAATTTTGCCTTGCAGACATCATAGAATATGCTTACAAAAACCAGATGGTGTAGGCTATTGCTCCTAGGCTACAAACTTGTACAGTATTTTACTGTACTGAATATTATAGGCAGTTGAAACAATGTATTTGTGTATTTAAACACAGCAAAGCAGCCAGGGTGCTGTGGCTCATGCCTGTAATCCCAGACATCTGTAATCCCAGCACTTTGGGAGGCCGAGGCAGGCAGATCACCTGAGGTCAGGAGTTCAAGATTTGCTTGGCCAACATGGTGAAACTCCTCCTCTACTAAAAATACAAACCTGGATGTAGTGGTGTGCCTGTAATTCCAGCTACTCGGGAGGCTGAAGCATGAGAATCACTGGAACCCAGGAGGTGGAGATTGCAGTGAGCCAAGATTGCACCACTGCACTCCAGCCTGGATAACAGAGCGAGACTCTATCTCAAATAAATAAACATAGAAAAATTACAGTAAAAATACAGTATTACAATCTTATGTGACTACTGTCTTATATGTGGTCTGTTGTTAACCGAAATTTGCTATGCAGCGCATGACTGTATTTAGAACTAGCTAAGTCTGGAAATTGGCAGACCTGGGTCCCTCCAGAAATATGGGCCCACATAGTATTGAAATTAAAAAAAATTATCTTCCAGTATCTTTTTTTTTTTCCTTATGATCTTCAGGACAATGTCTTCAAATGATGATATTTCACATTAAAATGAAGATTGCCAGTTTTTCTTGAAAAATAAATATGTTTCACCATTGGACACATTTTTTTCACATTTTCATATTACTGAGATATAGTATGTTATAACTGACAGCATCTTTTCTTTCTTAATAAAATAAAGGTGTTACTTACAATTAATGGAGGTTTTTAATTTGAAGAAATATGGTATTAGGGTAGCTCTTTTCCCCAAGTCCCACCTGCTTTCAGTTGTCTGGACTGAGTAGAGGTTATCTTCTTTACACTGGTTCTGCCCTTACTTGGCCAGCATTACCCGTTAGTGATGTCCATGAGGACCTTTAGGCATTTGAGTTTTTGAACTCCTATCTATAGGGAAACCAGTTACCTTTATACCAATTTATATTGCCCCAATAAACAGCTAGATGGGTTCAACTCTTTTTCTACAAATAGTGTTGTGAAAATACCTTTTTATGGACCCATGCAAAAGATTTCTCTTGGAAATACACCCAGGAGTGGGATTATACCATAATAGGGTTTATGTATACTTAATTTCCCTAGGCACATTTCAGGCTGCTTTCCAGAATAGCTTACCAGTATTTACTTCCTCCAGCAGTGCAGGAGAGCTCCCATTTCTTCTTGTTTGTTCGTTTTGTTTTGTCTTGAGACAGAGTCTTGCTCTGTCGCCCAGGCTGGCGTGCAGTGGTGCAATCTTAGCTCACTGCAGCCTCTGCCTCCAGAGCTCAAGCGATTCTTCTGCTTCAGCCTCCCAAGTTGCTGGGACTACAGACGTGTGCCACCATGCCCAGCTAAGTTTTGTATTTTCGGTAGAGACAGGGTTTCACCATGTTGGCCAGGCTGCTCTCAAACTCCTGACCTCAAGTGATCTGCCCATCTCAGCCTCTCAAAATACTGAGATTGCAGGTGTGAGCCACCACGCCCAGTCAAGAGTTCCCATTTCTTTACGTGCTCACTAACTTTCTAACTTTTGCCAATCTGAGGATGTATTTTAGTGTTCCATTGTTTTACTTTGCATTTTTCTGATTCTCAATGTTAAATTTGTTGTCGTTTGTTTGGTTGTGGTTTTTTTGGGACAATATCTCACTCTGTCGCCTGGGCTGGAGTGCAGTGGCGCAATCAGGGCTCCTCCACCTTCCGGGATCCTCCCACCTTAGCCCCTGTGCGTAGCTGGGACTACACGCCTGTGCCATCGAGCCTGGCTAATTTTTTGTATTTTTAATAGAGAGAAGGTTTCACCATGTTCCCCATGCCGGTCTTGAATTCCTGGACTCAGGCGATGTGGCCACTTCAGCCTCCCAAAATGCTGGGATTACAAGCTTGAGCCACCATGCCCAGCCTTCTAGATATTCTGTGTTTGTTTGTTTGTTTGTTTGAGATGGAGTCTCACTCTGTTGCCCAGGCTGGAGTGCAGTGGCGTGATCTCGGCTCACTGCAACCTCCACCTGCCAGGTTCAAGTGATTCTCCTGCCTCAGCCTTCCAAGTAGCTGGGACTATAGGGGCATGCCACCATGCCCAGCTAATTTTTTGTATTTTTAGTAGGGACAGAGTTTCACCATGTTAGCAGGGATGGTCTCAATCTCCTGATCTTGTGATCCACCCACCTCGGCCTCCCAAAGTGCTGAGATTACAAGTGTGAGCCACCACACCCGGCCAAGCCTTCCTGATATTCTTATTACCCATCTGGGTTTCAGTTTCTGTGAATTATCTGTTCATATTTTTGCCAACTTTTCCATTTCCCTTTTTGTTTTTGAATTTTAGGAGTTCCTTGTGTATTCTAAATGTTGGTCCTCATTGATTTCATACTGAAAATATCTTCTCTCAGCCAGGATAAGAAAAATAAGTATATATTAATTATTATTAATAATAATAATTCATAGTGGTGATTAGAAGTGATCCTTGATGTGTTTGAGATTTTAAAGGGAACATCTGGCCGCTCATTTGTTTTCTGTCTCTTATTTTCTGACAAATATATCTGAATCTGTAAGCTTTCTTCTTAGTGTTACATTCCCCAAATTTTGACTTTTTTTTCTTTTGTTATTTTATGATTTTCTTTTAATCCAAGGGTTATTTATTAGTATGTCTTTGCTTTCTAGACATAATGGTATATATTTGTGAACAAAAGTCCTCTCAAAAGGAAAATGCAGGGAAGAGACCTTATGTCATTGAACAGTTTATGTATGGCTAGATCCAGCCTTAAGTGTAGAAAGAAGGTATGTTCCAGAGAACAAAGGGAGAGCTTGAGTTTTATAGCAAAAGTTCCTGCCCATCTTCTCAATCAGGTCTGTTTGTGTAAATGAAGGATTCAGACTCACTCAGTTCTGGTTGGTTGATACAGCTGGGTCTTGATTGGTTGATCCAAGTCAGCCAATTGGTTGATTCAGGTGAGCTCTGATTGGTTCCGATGAATGCTGGAAGTCCCGAAGTTGAACAGAGGTGTGTTTTTTGGGGGAATTCAGAGTATGTGTGTGACCTCTAGTAAGCAAATGGCTGCTTGGCTCTAATTAATTCAATTTAATCTAATTTAATTTTTTCAGAGACAGGCTTGCCCTGTTGCCCAGGCTGGAATGTGGTGGTGCAATCATTCCTCACTGTAACCTTAAACTTTTGGGTTCAATTGATCATCCCACCTCAGCCTCCTAAGTAGTTAGAACTACAGGCGTGCACCACCATGCCAGGCTAATTTTTAAATTTTGTTTTGTAGAGATGGAGTCTAGCTATGTTGCCTGGGCTGGTATTGAACTTCTGGCCTCAAGTGATCCTCCCACCTTGGCCTCCTAAAGTTCTGAGATTACAGGCATCAGACACAGTGCCTAGCTTAGGCCCTGTTTTAAATTTAGGCCCAGTTAACTACTCAGGATTCATCTTGAAGTATTGGTTCTTTCAGGTTCGCATTTGTTCACATAGTTTAAAAACCTTTCTTTTGTTATTCTTTGCTGTTCTTTTTTAAAAAAGAGCACCAGAAATAATTCATTAAGGATATCTTCTTTTGGGTATCTTTTTTTTTTTTTTTTTTTTTTTTTTTGAGACGGAGTTTCGCTCTTGTTACCCAGGCTGGAGTGCAATGGCGCGATCTCGGCTCACCGCGACCTCCGCCTCCTGGGTTCAGGCAATTCTCCTGCCTCAGCCTCCTGAGTAGCTGGGATTACAGGCACGCGCCACCATGCCCAGCTAATTTTTTGTAGTTTTAGTAGAGACGGGGTTTCACCATGTTGACCAGGATGGTCTCGATCTCTTGACCTCATGATCCACCCGCCTCGGCCTCCCAAAGTGCTGGGATTACAGGCTTGAGACACCGCGCCCGGCCTTTGGGTACCTTTAGAGTTTTCAATAAATTGAATCTAAGCTGCTATTAATTATAAGGTGCAACATTATTTTATGTTTTACTAAGAAAAAATTGGTTTGAATTGAACTATTTCAAATACTTTATTATCATTTAAAATTTTTATTTTGTACTTATTGATAGAGTTCTTTTAAATGTATGTGGACATACAGATTTTTATCCTATCCTTTATCTTCATCCTTTGCAAACATAAAAAGGAATATATGATATGAAATAAAGTGGTTAATACTTTTCTAAAATTTCACCACTGCCACCAGCCCACAACAATTGTAAATTATTCCTGATTATAAAATGCATCCAAATTTCAATATTAAAATGTAAGAAAGATGTAGATCCTTAGAATCAATTAAATAAGATGTATTTTAATATCAAGTATTGAAAGCTACATATTTTTGTAAGCCAAGTTGGAGTGAAGTGTATGGGTGTTTCGTAATGATTTTCTTATTTTTTCTCAGAGACACTTAAATAAATCATTCTGATTTAAAGAAATTAAAACATCCTCTTTGTATATAAAGTCTCAAAGAAAGAAATTAATCCTTTTAATGGTAGAAACCAAGGCTAATGGTTATTGCATGAAAAGTGAATCAACAAATTACACCAATAAAGACCACTTTGGGGCTGGTGGCTCACGCCTGTAATCTCAGCACTTTGGGAAACCAAGGCGGGCAGATCATGAGGTCAGGAGTTCTAGACCAGCCTGGCCAACATGGTGAAACCCCGGCTCTACTACAAATACAAAAAATTAGCCAGGTGTGGTGTTGTGTGCCTGCATTCCAGCTACTCGGAAGGCTGAGGCGGGAGAATCGCTTGAACCTAGGAGGTAGAGGTTGAGGTGAGCAGAGATAGGGTCATTGTACTCCAGCCTGTGCAACAAAGCAAGACTGTCTCAAAAAATAAATAAGTAAATAAAGACAACTTTGTTTTGTGTTTTTTTATCTTTCTTGTTTTTTAAAGGCGAAAGCAACAACAATCAAAGAAGCCCTAGCGAGATGGGTAAGTACATGAATTTTTCCTTCTTTTAGAAACCGTACAAGGAAAAATTTTGGATAGTTGATTCAAGTCCAGCTATTTAATACAAAGGATCTTTTTAGTGTTGGAGCTCTTCAGCTATCTTGACTATGGTGGTGGATGCATGAACCTACACAGATGATAAAAGTGTATAAAACTTAGTACACGCATACTAACACACAGCCATACATGCACATGAGTACAAGCAAATTTGGGAAAATCTGAATAAAATCAGTGGATTGTATTAATAGCAATATCCTAGTTATATTATACTATAGTCATAAAATGTTATCCTTGGAGGGACTGGACAAACTTCAAATATCATAATAAAATTTTCAATTAAAAAAACCTGACCACTGGAAAATTTAAATATGGAAAGGATGATTTTATCTATTGCCATAAAATTGCTGGAATTTCTGTGTTAGTACATTTTCTTTTTCAACTTTATAATCACTAAACTACATGTCATTTTCATATGATAGAGTCATATGAATTGTGGATTATCTAGGATTTAGAGGGTGGTTTTAGCCTCCTGGAGGTTAGTACAGAGGTAATCAATGTGGACAAATGTAAATCATGCATATACAATTGAAAAAAACACTAAATAAAAATACTAAAGCATATAGCAATACTAAAAAGGAAACTACATTGTAAAAAATGTGCATTATATGTAAATTATATTTTCAGTATTCTATAACATGCTAATAAAGTTTGAACAGTTATAATTCAGCATATAGACAGAATTGCCGTAGAGTACAGAGATGATTCCTGAATTTCTGTGACCATAAACTTATTTGTCTATGTTATCAGTAGTTTTTTTGCATCGCTTCCTGGCCTTTTGGCTAAGATCAAGTGCAGTTTTTTTTGTATAATAATGTACCTTTTGCTTTTGTAACTAGGCGAATAAAGAGGCTTTCAGAAGCAATTGGTGTCTAGGGAAAATAGATAAAGTTCGATAAAATAATGAAATACTTGAATTCTTGTTTTAGTGCTTATAAATTTCTCATTTACTTTAAGTGTATTTTTATAATTTATTTCTGTTTGGTTAAATATATAATGAAAAATCTTAAGAAAAAAGGAGTATGAAGTAGACTTAGTACAAGATTTAATTTTCCTTGAATTGGATGTTGAGACTTTATTTTACTTATAGTAACTAGTGTTTTTTTGTTTTGGCTGGTAGAGTCTGTTTCTAGATTACATTATGGCCATACATTTTTTACTTTCTTTTTTATTTATTTATTTATTTTTTTTGAGACAGTGTCTCGTTCTGTCACCCAGGCTGGAGTGCAGTGGTACAATCATAGTTCACTGCGGCCTCGATGTCTTAGGCTCTAACACCTGAGTAGCTGGGACTACGGGTGTGCGTCACCACACCTGGCTAATTTGTTGTTGTTGTTGTTGTAGAGATAGAGTCTCATTATGTTGCCCAGGCTGGTCTTGAACTCCTGAGCTCAAGTGATCCTCTTGTCTCAGCCTCCCCTGGTGCTGGGATTACAGGCGTGAGCCACTGTGCCTGGCCCATGCATTTTTGACTTTGATTATTTGAAAACATCAATCTCACTTTTTCATTGATTCACCCAACATTTATTGAGGATCTACTAGATGTCAGTTTCTCCTCCTCTAACCTACAAATAGATAACATAAAAATAAGCACTGGGTGGAAGTGTTTTAGATCTTTACAACTGATTGTATATTTTCTATCATTATTATTATTACTTTGATACATTTTATTTTTCTTTTAATTTAATTTTGTTAAAATATAGATAGGGTTTCACTGTATTGCCCAGACTGGTCTCAAACTCCTGAGCTCAAGTGATCCTCCTGCCTCAGCCTCTCAAAGTGTTAGGATTACAGGCATGAGCCATTGTGCCCAGCCTATTTTCTATTATTGATATGTGGTGATTTAAGTTTTTGAAAGGAGTTTTGTGTGTCTTATACTGCAATAGGTTATAAAAAACATAGGAAAGCAAAGGAAATGGTCTCTGAGCTTCTAGTTTTGTTAATTTTGTTAGTTAGTTTGTTTTTCTGGGGCCAGGATCTCTGTCCCCCTAGGCTGGATTGCAGTGGAGCTCAGGTGATCCTCCCACCATAGCCTCAACCTCCAAATAACTGGGACCACAGTCATGCACCACCACCTCTGGCTGCTTTTTAAATTATTTGTAGAAATGAGGTCTTACTATGCTGCTCAGGCTGGTTTCCAACTCTTGAGCTCACGCAATCCTCCTCCCTTGGCCTCCCAAATTGCTGGTATTACAGGCAGGAGCCTCTGTGCCTGTTGGTCTTTTTACTATTGAGTTGAGTTCCCTTGTCAGATGAATAGTTTGCAAATATTTTCTCCTATTCAAGAGATTTTCTCTTCACTCTGTTGATTGTTTCCTCTGCTGTGTAGAAGCCTTTTATTTTTATTTTTTGAGATGGAGTCTTACTGTGTTGCCCAGGCTGGAGTGCAATGGAACAATTTCGGCTCACTGCAACCTCCACCTCCTGGGTGCAAGTAATTCTCCTGCCTCAGCCTCCCAAGTAGCTAGGATTATAGGCATGTGCCACCATGCCTGGCTCATTTTTGGTATTTTTAGTAGAGATGGAGTTTCACCATGTCGGCCAGGCTGGTCTTGAACTCCTAAGCTCAAGTGATCCACCTGCCTTGGCCTCCCAAAGCACTGGGACTACAGGCGTGATCCACCGTGCTTGGCCAGAAGCTTTTTAGTTTTAGTTCCATTGTTTATTTTTGTTTTTGTTGACTGTGCTTTAAGGTCTTAGCCATAAAATCTTTTCCTAGACCAATGTCCTGAAATGTTTTTCCTATATTTTTTTCTAGTGGCTTTATAGTTTTGAGTCTTTAAGTCTTTAATTCATCATGGCTGATTTTTTGCATATGGTAAGAGATAGGGATCCAGTTTCATTCTTCTGCATTTGGATATCCAATTTTTCCAGCACCATTTATTGAAGAGGGTATCCTTTTCCCAATGTGTACTCTTGGTGCCTTTGTCAAAAATCAGTTGACTGTAAATACATGGACTTATTTCTGGATTCTCCATTCCATTCTATTGGTCTTTGTATCTGCTTTTATACCAGTACTGTGCTGTTTGAGTTGTGTTCACCTTATAATATGTTTTGAAATCAGGTAGTGTGTTAACGTCCAATTTTGTTCTTTTCGCTCAGGATTGTTTTAACTATTTATGTTCTTCTTTGGTTCCATATAAATTTTAGGAATTTTTTCTATTTCTGTGAAAATAACATTGGTATTTTGATGGGAATTACACTGAATCTGTAGCTTACATTAAGCACTATGGTCATTTTAATTATTATTATTTTTTTTTTTGAGACGGAGTTTTGCTCTTGTTACCCAGGCTGGAGTGCAATGGCACGATCTCGGCTCACCGCAACCTCCGCCTCCTGGGTTCAGGCAATTCTCATGCCTCAGCCGGGACTACAGGCACACGCCACCATGCCCAGCTAATTTTTTGTATTTTTAGTAGAGACGGGGTTTCACCATGTTGACCAGGATGGTCTCGATCTCTTGACCTTGTGATCCACCCGCCTCAGCCTCCCAAAGTGCTAGGATTACAGGTGTGAGCCACCGAGCCCGGCTCATTTTAATTATATTAATTCTTCTGATCCATGAATATGAGATGTCTTTGCATTTGTTTGTGTCCTTTTCAAATTTTAAATGCCACAAAAATAAAAGTTTTTTTTTTTTTTTAATTTCCTTTTCACTTCCATTTGGTAGGGATCTAACAGTTATCTGATTCAGCCACATATAAATCTGATTATCAGGGTTAGTAGATAAATGTTTTCAATAAGTTAATGGCAAAGAATTCTTAAACAGTTTGTTAAATTCTAACAATTGTTTTGAAATAAACATAGAAAAATCTTGGGAAATTCTGACCTCATTTGGTTCCACATTACAATCATGGATTACTTCTTCCAAATGTATTTTTCTCATAGGAAGAGAAAACTGGCCAGAGGCCATCTGAAGCCAAAGAGATAAAACTTTATGCCCAGATTCCCCCCATAGAGAAGATGGATGCATCCTTGTCCACGCTTGCTAATTGCGAGTAAGTTCTCTTTTCATCCTTCCAGTATTGCTATTAGGTTTCCCTTTCTTTTCTTAAACACACAAAATAGGAAAATATGTTTGTTTTCTGTGGTCTTCATTTATTTTTTGTTTGCTTACTGTAATTCTCCCTTTGGCAAGGCCAAACATGAAAAATTACTGGTTTATAGGATTATTAATAGAAAAATATTGAACAGTACCATATTTTTAGTGCAATTGTTATAATATGTTTCAAAATATAAATCAAGTATTTTGGGAGAAGCTAAATAACACAATAAACCATATATAGAGAGAGAAAATATTTTCTCCCATTCAACAGGTTTTGTCTTCTTCACTCTGTTGATTGTTTCCTCTGCTGTGCAGAAGCATATATATATATATATATATATATATATATATATGTTTTGTTTTGTTTTGTTTTGTTTTTTTTGAGACGGAGTTTCGCTCTTGATACCCAGGCTGGAGTGCAATGGCGCGATCTCGGCTCACCGCAACCTCCGCCTCCTGGGTTCAGGCAATTCTCCTGCCTCAGCCTCCTGAGTAGCTGGGATTACAGACACATGCCACCACGCCCAGCTAATTTTTTGTAGTTTTAGTAGAGACGGGGTTTCACCATGTTGACCAGGATGGTCTCGATCTCTTGACTTCGTGATCCACCCGCCTCGGCCTCCCAAAGTGCTGGGATTACAGGCTTGAGCCACTGCGCCCGGCCTGTTGTTGTTTTTTAATAGAGATGGAGTTTCACCATCTTGGCCAGGCTGGTCTTGAACTTCTGACCTTGTCATCCACCCACCTCAGCCTCCCAAAGTGCTGGGATTACAGGTGTGAGCCACCACACCCAACCTCATATTTTTTTTAAATACAGAATACTTCATGAATGTATATGCTAGCCTTGTGCAGGGGCCATGCTAATCTTCTGTCATTCCAGTTTCAGTACACGTGCTGCTGAAGCGAGCACCACAATAAACTATGACTCTGTTATGAAACCTACTACTTTCTCTTGTAAAATTATCCACCAAAGTCAGAACTATATTTACTTACTACATGCCTAAGTGATACCCCCTAAAAAAAAACCTTTAAAATTATAAAAAACTTATTGTAAAACATCTGGAAAATATAAACAGTGCAAAGAAAAGGAATTAACATTAACCCAAATAACACCACCTTGTGAGAACCAGTACTAGCATTTTTGTAGAGCCTTCTAACTTTTTTTAAAAAATTCTAATTGGGATCAAATTATCCTTTTTTTTTTTGAGACATTCTTTGTCACCCAGGCTGGAGTGCAGTGACATGATCTCAGCTCATCAGAACCTCTGCCCCCCAGGTTCAAGCAATTCTGCCTCAGCCTCCCAAGCAGCTGGGACTACAGGCGCTCACCACCATACCCAGCTAATTTTTTGTATTTTTAGTAGAGACAGGGTTTCACCATGTTGGCCAGGCTGGTCTCAAACTCCTGACCTCAAGTGATCCACCCACCTTGGCCTCTCAAAGTGCTGGGACTACAGGCATGAGCCACTGCGCGTGGCCTACTTATTTTGTAATATATCCTGTGACTTTAATTGTCAGATCTATAGTAATTTCTTTTATTTTCTCAAGACATGATTTAGCAGGATTCTGTGGCTGATTTGAGGCAATTATATCATGTTGCCTTGTAACCATGTTTTTAGGCTACAGGTTTCTCTTGTCAGGGCTATAATATACCATAGAATCACTGGGGTTTTTTTGTTTTTGTTTTTGTTTTTTCTGATTTCCTCACCCTGTGTTTGTCTAACTGTGATCCCTTGATTATCGGCACTTTATGCAGGAGATCAGCTCCATCCCAAATTTATAGAAACAGAATATTTACCGATGAAACCTAGGAATCTGAATTTACAGTAAGTAACTTGGGTAATTCTAGGACACATATTTGTGAACCCACTATTAGACTAATATCCATCTGTGGGATCAAAGGGGAGAGCAAACATTTAGCTTTTGTATGCAGCTTGTTCTTTGTGATGAGAAGACAGTGTGTCATAAACCAATCTCAAAGCAAACAAACTTGAGAAGGCTTTGTACTTCATACCAAAGTGCCTTGTAAATCACCTGGAGTCAACCTGTTCATATTTTGCTGATAATCTCTTTGCACTGGCTCCCTCAACAAGAATTAAAGAATTATTTCCCAACCATATTCCTAGATTTAAAGGCACTCCATTTTTCAGTAGGAGTTCTCAGGATTGGGGGATGACTAGAAAATATACATGATATAGTAATTACTTTATGTATAGTCTTTACATGATATAGTAATTACTTTTTTTTTTTTTTGAGACGGAGTTTCGCTCTTATTGCCCAGGCTTGAGTGCAATGGCGTGATCTCGGCTCACAGCAGCCTCTGCCTCTGAGGTTCAAGCAATTCTTCTGCCTCAGTTTTCTGAGTAGCTGGGATTATAGGCATGTGCCACCAAGCCCGGCTAATTTTATATTTTTGGTAGAGATGAGGTTTCACCATGTTGGTCAGGCTGGTCTTGAACTCCTGACCTCAGGTGATCTACCTGCCTCTGCCTCCCAAAGTGCTGGGATGAGCCACTGTGCCCAACCTCTTTTGCTGATTTAAATAGAAAAATAATAATAATAATACAAGAATGATTCTTTCAAGTCAAATCACGAAGGGTAAGATGCATGATCTGGAATCAGACTTACCTGGGTTTTAATTTTGGTCCTGCCACTTTGTGACTATGTAATATTGAGAAAATGTCTTTGTGCCTCAGTTTCATTGGTAAAATGTGGATAATAATAATGCTTACCCAAAAGATCACTGTGATGATTAAAATAGTTAATACAAGTAAAGTGCTTAGAAGAATACTGGATACACATTAAGTGTTAAACAAAATTAGCTTTTATTTCTGGGCATAGTGGCTTATACCTGTAATCCCAGTGACTTGGAAGTCTTAGGCAGGTGGATCTTTTGAGCCCAGAACTTTGAGGCTGCAGTGAGCTATGATTGTGCCACTGCACTCCAGCCTGGGCAAGAGAGTGAAACCCTGTCCTGTTAAAAAAAAAAAACACACACACACACTTATATTATGTATATATGTAGGTTTTGTTTGTTTGTGTTTTGGTAGGTTTTTGTTCTTTTTCGAGATGGGATCTTGCTCTTTTGCCTAGGGTGGGCTCCAACTCCTGGGCAAAGGTAATTCTCATGCCTCAGACTATTGAGTAGCTGGGACTACAGGTGCACACCACTGCTCCTAGCTTTATTTTATTTTTTGCATGAAACTTACTAAGATATTTAAAGTTTTATCAAGAAAAGAAGACTGAGCATGTGTAATTCTGTCCCCTTTAAAAATTTTGTTTTTATATAATTAAAATAACATATAGAAAAAGTCTGGGAAGATACATATGAAGACTATTAAAAGTCAGTATCAGCTGGGTGCAGTGGCTCACGCATGTAATCCCAGCACTTTGGGAGGCTGAGGTGGGCGGATCACAAGGTCAGGTGTTTGAGACCAGCTTGGCCAACATGGTGAAACCCCATTTCTACTAAAAATACAAGAAAATTAGCCGGGCATGGTGGTGCACACATGTGGTCCCAGATACTTGGAGGCTGAGGTAGGAGGATCACTTGAACCTATATAGGAGGCACATGTTGCAGTGAGCTGAGATTGTGCCACTGTACTCCAGCCTGGGTGACAGAGTAAGACCCTGTTTCAAAAAAAAAAAAAAGGTTACATATTAATTTTTTTTCAATATAAATTTTGGAATGATTGAACACATGAAAAAAATATCTGTCTCCACAAATACATACACATAGTTTTGCGGAGTTTTTTTTGTTGTTTTTTTTTTTAACGCAAAGGATCATATAAGATATATTGTTCTAGGCTGGGCACGGTGGCTCACACCTATAATCTCAGCATTTTGGGAGGCCGAGGCAGGTGAATCACCTGAGGTCAGGAGTTCGAGACCAGCCTGGCCAACATGGCAAAACCCCGTCTCTACTAAAAATACAAAAATTAGCACAGCATGGTGACGCACACCCATAATCTCTGCTATTTGGGTGGTTAAGTCATGAGAATTGCTTGAACCCGGGAGGTGGAGGTCACAGTGAGCTGAGATAGTGCCATTGCCCTCCAGCCTGGGCCATAGCGTGAGACTTTATCTCAAAAAAAAAAAAAGAATTGTTCTGCTAGATGGTTTTAAAACTATGTATCATAGAAATCTTCCCAAGTCAATATCTATAGCCCAATCTCCTTTGTTTTAGTGGCAGCTTAGTGTTTCACTATCTGTTCCTCAGTTAACAGGTGTTTGTAGATTTTTTATTTTTTTTATTTTTTTTATTTATATACAGAGTATCCCTGTGTCACCTAGGCTGGACTGCAGTAGTACGATCTCGGCTCACTGCAACCTCTGCCTCCCAGGTTCAAGCAATTCTCCTGTCTCAGCCTCCCGAGTAGCTGGAATTACAGGCGCATGCCACCATGCCCAGCTAATTTTTTTTATTTTAGTTGAGACAGGCTTTCACTGTGTTGCCCAGGCTGGGCTCAAACTCCTGAGCTTAGGCAATCCGCTGCCTCAGCCTCCCAAAGTGCTGGGATTACAGGCGTGAGCCACCTTGCCTGGAGATTTTTTTCAATTTTTCTGCTATTCCAGTAACACATATATCTTTTGGCATTTAATTAATATTTCAGTAAGATGTATTTCTAGAAGTGAAAAAGTGGGTCAAGAAATGTTATGCATTAAAAAATTTGATAATACTAGGGTAAGGCATGGTGGCTCACACCTCTAATCCCAGCACTTTGGGAGGCCCAGGCAAGTGGATCACTTAAGGTCAGGAGTTCAAGAACAGCCTGGCCAACATGATGAAACCATGTCTCCACTAAAAATACAAAAATTAGCCATGCATGATAGCAGGTGCCCGTAATCCCATCTACTTGGGTGGCTGAGGCAGGAGAATTGCTTGAACCAGGGAGGTGGAAGCTGCAGTGAGCTGAAATGGTGCCGCTGCACTCCAGCCTGGGTGACAGAGGGAGACTCCATCTCAAGAAGAAAAAAAATCGTTAATACCAAGTTGCCCTCAAGAGGATTTTTTTCAAATGTTCAATAAGTGTTTATTAACTTACATAATAAGAGAAAAACAACGATTTCAAAATGAAGTAATAACTGCTATGGTTTTTTTTTTTAAAACGGTGTCTCACTCTGTCCCCCAGGCTAGAGTGCAGTGGCGTGATCTCAGCTCACTGCAAACTCCTCCACCCAGGTTCAAGTGATTCTCCTGCCTCAGCCTTCCAAGTAGCTGGGATTACAGGTGACCACGCCTGGCTAATTTTTTTTTTTTTTTTTTTTTTTTTTTTTTTTTTTTCAGTAGAGACGGGGTTTCACCATGTTGGCTAGCCAGGCTGGTCTCAAAACTCCCAGCCTCAGGTGATCTGCCCACCTTGGCTTCCCAAAGTGCTGGGATTACAGGCGTGAGCCACAGTGTCTGGCCAATAAATGCTATGATTGAATGGGGAAAATATGACTTAAATACTATCTTTCATGGGCACTATTGTTAAGGAATAATTTCTGATTTACCACTTAAGTTTTTCACATTAATTTAATTTTTTTCTTTGTTCTTTTAAAGGAAGCTTTCACTGTCTACAAACTGCATTGAAAAAATTGCCAACCTGAATGGCTTAAGTAAGTGATTCACAGTAACAGATGGTTCATGGATTTCCTAGTTATTGTAATAAACATTCCAGAGACAATATGTAATTCCAGAAGCTGGCACCTGTTTTAGCCATACTTGTTGTCAGACAATAGAATACATAAACTATGTCTTTTTTTTTTTTTTTTTTTAGACTGAGTTTCGCACTTGTTACCCAGGCTGGAGTGCAATGGCCTGATCTCGGCTCACCACAACCTCTGCCTCCTGGGTTCAAGCAGTTCTCCTGCCTCAGCCTCCTGAGTAGCTGGGACTACAGGCATGAGCCGCCATGCCCAGCTAATTTTAGTATATTTTAGTATATTTAGTAGTTTCACCTTGTTGACCAGGGTGGTCTCGATCTCTTGACCTCATGATCCACCCGCCTCGGCCTCCCAAAGTGCTGGGATTATAGGCGTGAGCCACTGCGCCTGGCCAACTATGTCTTAAGTCTGATTATTCAAAGAAAATTAGAGATAGCATGAGCTCTGAACATTTTAAAGACATTTAAAAGCTTTTATAGAGTTAGAGTTGAGACATCTTAAATAGAATATCAGATTTTTAATTATATATTTCTTTGTTCAGATTTGTTTTTTCTGTATTTCAAATTTATTATATTTAAATGTTAATTCCTTGTCATCCCTATTTTTTTTTTTCCTGTGCTCCTTATTCTTGTTAATGACATTGCACCCTCCCAGTTGCCAAGGCCTCTGACTCTTTATTAGTTTCCTATGGCTGCTGTAACTTTATAGCTTAAAACGATAGATATTTATTTTCTTATGGTTCTGGAGACCAGAAGTCTGAAATCAGTTTCATCTGGCGAAAATCAAGCCATACTCCCTCTGGAGGCTTGAGGAGAATCTTTTTCTAGCCTTTTTCAGCTTCTGGTGGCTGCTGCATTCCTTGGCTTGTGACTCATCACTCCAATCTCTGCCTGTAGTCACACTGGCTTCTCCTTCTGTGTCAAATCTCTGTGCCTCCCTCTTATGAGGATACATGTGATTGCATTAGTGCACACCCTGATCTTGAGGATTATTTCCCCATTTCTCAAGATCCTTAATCACATCTGCAAAGTACTTTTTTATGCCATATAAGGTAACATTTACAGGTTCCAGGGATTAGAATGTAGGTATCTTTTGAGGAGCCATTGTTTAGCCTACTAATATGGTCTGTCTTCAAGCCCTACATGCAAGTTCATCACTAAATCCTGTTAACTCTACTCTTTGAAGAAGCTCTCAAAGAAAGTGTTGCTTTTCCATTTCCAGGGGTTACAACTTTAATTTAGACCCTCATCATCTTCCCCTTAGGTCATTGTTCTTCAAACATTTGACCACTTTCCACAGCAAGAAATAAATCTGAATTTATTATACATCGATATGAATATACATATCAAATATGTACATACATATACAAACTTAAATAAAGTTTGTAAGACAGTATTTACCCTTATATAGCAAGGTTCCAGTATTTTTTTTTTCATTATGTTGCCCAGGCTGGTATTCAGTGGTACAATCTCAGCCCACTGCAACTTCCGCCTCCTGGGTTCAAGTAATTCTGCAGCCTCACCCTCCCAAGTAGCTGGGATTACAGGTGTCCACTGCCACACCTGGCTAATATTTGTGTTTTTAGTGGAGACAGGGTTTCGCCATGTTGACCAGGCTGGTCTTGAACTTTTGACCTCAAGTGATCCGCCCACCTCAGCCTCCCAAAGTGCTGGGATTACAGGTGTGAGCCACCAAGCCTGGCCAGTTCCAGTATGTATTTTTACATTTTTATTTCTGCTTTTTTTTTTTTTTTAATGCTGATCACAACACACTAAATTGATTTCACAACCTGTTAATTTAGTCTCATGACCCATAGTTTGAAAAACACTGTCTTACAACTTTTGTGATAGTAAAACAGGTCAGGGTCACTGGTCTCATTATCTAAGGTGTTACCCGAGGTTCATTGTCTCATGAGAGAAAATTAAGGAATGTAGATGCAAACAAAGGGTGAGGCTGCAGTGAAAGTTTAATGAGTGAAAAAGAAAGCTCTCTGTAGCAGAGAGGGAAGCCTGAGTTGCTTTTTTTTACAATTGAATTCAAAAGCTTTTATAAGAAACTCCTCTCACTGCTGTAGCTGTTTGAGTAACTCCTCTTATCTGAAAAGCTGTCTGCACAACTCCCCTTTATCTATGTAGTTGTTGGTATGTCTCTAGGCAAGCATAAAGCACTGCTTCTCTTGTTTGTAAAATTGTGGGTTTATTTTAGGTAAGTCCCCCTCCTCCCCGTACAAGTTCCCAGGGAGCCTACTATGTACATGTCTGAAAAGGGAAAGAAACTTTTTCCTGGGAGCCCGCCAATTACACAAAGAACAATCTGTGCTGGACCCTGCATACTAATCCATGCAGGTGCAGCCTGAGTTTTCCCCAGGGTGCTCTATTTTTCCTGTAGCTGTGATTTTTCAGACAGGCTGCTTTTCTAAGGACCAGCCCTAACTGTTTACCTAACAGATCCCTCAATAGCCTCCTAACTGATCTCCTTTTCTCCGTCTTTCTGCCCTTCAGGTGGCCTTCATCACTGATAACAGAGTTTTCTTTCTAAAAATATTATTTGAATATCATTATATCAGAGACCTTTTAATGGTACCTCTTTGCCTAGAAAAGACCAAATGCCTTAATGTTGCATTCAAAGTCATCTAAAAACTTGTGCTATCCACACCCAAATATACTATTTTAAAAATGACTTTGTAACATTTATTAATGCAATACTTTTCACTGAGAACAGCTTTTCCCTGTAACAGGAAAATCCTGTAAGAAATTAAGATTTAAGAATGCAGCCAGGCACCATGGCTCACACCTTTAATCCCAGCACTTTGGGAGGCTGAGTCAGGTGGATCACTTAAACTCAGGAGTTCAGGACCAGCCTGGGCGACATAGTGAGACCTCTGTCTCTACTAAAAATTTTAAAAATTATCTGGGCATGGTGATGTGTGCCTGTAGTCCCAGCTACTTGGGAAGAGGATTGCTTGAGCCCAGGAGAGTGAGTCTGCAGTGAGCTATAATGGTGCCACTGCACCGCAGCCTGTGCAACAGAGCAAGACCGTATCTCAAGAAAAAAAGGTTATGAATGCCACATTTGAATGTCACTCCCTCCTTAAAGACTTCCCTCAACTTCATCATCAAAATTAGTTACTCTTTGGGGAATATTCATAACAGTCTACCTTGGATTGTAATAATAATTACCTATCTCATATAATTATTGTGAAGGTTGAGTTAGTATATATAGAGTACACAGAATTGTGCCTGGTACATATAAAATGCTCAATAAATATTAACCATTGTTATAGTTAGTTGGGAAGATGTTCTGCTGTTAAGATAGTGAATTATTTGAGAAAAAGCATCATCTTATTAATCTTTTAATTTTCTATTCCAGTACCCCTCACCGCTTTTATCTTACTCCAGAAATAGCCTATAGATAATAGAAATAGAAATAATCTTTAAAAAATACAGATAGGTATTTTATTTTTTAAACAAATCACAGTCTAATTATTTAAAAGATTAAAATCAAATGATTTTTTTAAATACCAAATTTATTTTATTTCACTTCTAATTCTTCATGGAGTGAGGTGGATAGTACATAAATATATGTTCTTATTTTCTAGTGTGAGTTCTCATAAGAGATTTGAAATATGTATGTTCTCAAACTTAAAATATTCTCTACTGCTATTTTATCCTGTAATATTTTTATTAGCCAGCAATTTAAGACCATGTGTTCCAGATAGCTAATCATTTTTTAATTTAATAGTGACATGTTATGTAGTGTTTACCTTAGATGATAGGTCAATGTTATTTTCAACTTGATTACCCATTTTTGTTAACACAACCTTTCTTACTCATTGTATAAGGATATCTATTATATAAAACTTATTAAAGCTTTATTATACTAGATGTACAATTGTGTAATATGATTCTAGTAAACAAAAAGATGTTTTCTTTTCACTACAGAAAACTTGAGGATATTATCATTAGGAAGAAACAACATAAAGAACTTAAATGGACTGGTAGGTTGTTATTTATCATTATTTTATTTATGTATTTAATTTGCACACATCCATGAATAATTTCTTGGATAAATTCCTTGAAATGGAATTACTAGGTCAAAAGGTATGAGTTTCTTTTAAGGCTTTTGTGACATAGTCTCAAGTTGCCCTTCAAAAAGTTTATAACAACCTGTAATGTGTGAGGTTTCCCAATTGCCCATACCAGCCTTGGGCATTTAAAAATTTTTTGACATGTCTTATTTTTATATTTATTGGTTATTTGAATTTCCTCCCATAGAAGGTGAGGTGGAACAATTACATAAAACTAATCAATTTCAGGAAAGATGAAGTGAATTTTTCTGCATAATTTTTAATATGTTTATTGTTAAATAATTCTTAAACTTATTGAAATTTTGTATGGCCCTGACTCCTTTTCCCTTCCCAATAAATTTTAATACGGAAATTCAGAATTTATTATATTTCAGGCTGAATTTAACTTTGAGTTACCTATAAAGGAATAGTTTGCAGATAAATGTACTCCAGAATGTTTAGTATTAATATGTACTTGATGTTCCACCAGGTATTTATGGAATCCCTTGTAGAATCCCAAATGCTCAAGTAATGCTATAGTATGTAATTTCTTCCATTAAAATAAAATAAATACCCAGAGACCACAAACAAATTGTAAATATAGGATTAAAGGCATGTATTAAGATGCTATCTGGCTAAACCATCACTTGTTTTAGATATCTTCACTTTCTATACACTCCTATCAATGATACTCAATAGTTAGTTTTCTTTCCAGGATGTAATGTGGGGTGTGTGTCCAAAAGCTTTATTACTTATGTGCAGACTAAATAAAAATAAAGCTATGGCTAGTCACAGTGGTTTATGCCAGTAATCCCACCACTTAGAAGGCCAAAGTGGGAGGATCACATGAGGCCAGGAGTTTACCTGGGCAACATAGAAAGACCTTGTCTCTATTGAAAATTTAAAAAGAAATTAGCCAGCATGATAGTCCCAGCTACTTGGGGTGCTGAGGCAGAAGGATTGCCTGAGCCTAGAAGTTTGAGTTTACAGTGAACTATGATTGTGCCATAGCACTGCATAAAAGAAAATGAAAGCTGCGTAGGGATGTGGATACTCGGCTTCAAATAGGTTCACATACTAGATGACTTATTCATTTAGACACACCTGCCTCATAGCATGTTTTAAATAGTGATCTTAGTAAATTGAAGATGATTATTGTAGTGTGTGAAACATGGAATGTTAAGTTGAATAAAAAGGGTTTATTTAAAACTACTCAAGAAAATTATTAAGGTACTTTATAAGCCCATTTGTATATATGATCTGGCCTTTGCCTTTCTTTCTGATCTCATTTCATGTTTCTCTTCTCCTAGTTGATAATCTCTAGTGACGGGCCTTCTTTCTGTTCCTTTACCATGCACAGTTCATTCCCACCTGAGGATCTTAGTACTTGCAGTTCCTTCTGTCTTAAAACTCTATTACCATGGATTTCCACTATGTGGTCTCCTTCTTAACCTTCACATCTCAGCTCAGAGATCATATCCTTAAAGGTGACCCAATCACCCTATATCTAAAGTGGCTCTCTAAGCAGTAATGTTTTTGTTTTTGTTTTTGTTTTAGACAAGGTATCACTCTGTCACCCAGGCTAGAATGCATGGTACAATCACAGCTCATTGCAACCTTGACCTCCTGGGCTCAGGCCATCCTCCCACCTCAGCCTCCTGAGTAGCTGGGGCCACAGGTGTGCACCATCACACCCAGCTAATATTTTAATTTTTTGTGGAGACGGGGTCCCACTATGTTGCCCAGGCTGATCTCAAACTTCTGGGCTTAAGCAATGCTCCTGCCTCAGCCTCCCAAAGTACTGGAATTACAGGCATGAGCCACCATGCCCGGTGGAGTAAATCTTTATTTTTTTGAACCAGGGTCTCACTGTGTCGCCCAGGCTGGAATGTCATAGCGTTATCTTGGCTCACTGCAACCTCTGCCTCATGGCTCAAGCAATCCTCCCACCTCAGCCTCTCCAATAGCTGTGACCAAAGACACATGCTATCACACTTGGCTAATTGTTTTGTATTTTTGGTAGGGGTCTCACCATGTTGCCCAGGCTGGTCTTGAACTCCTGAGCTCAAGCAGTCCACCTGCCTGACCTTCCAAAGTGCTAGGATTACAAGCCTGAGCCACCACGCCTGGCTGTGTAAAACTTTTACCAGTTGTAATTTTATTTTGTCATGTTACTCATTATCTGAAATTCTTGTTTGTTCTCTCTCTCGCTCTCTCTCTCTCTCTCTCTCTCTCTCTCTCACACACACACACACACACACACATATCCTAATGACCATGTCAGTTTTGATTTTTGTTTACTTAGAGACAGGGTCTCACTCTGTCACCCAGGCTGGAGTGCAGTGGCATGATTATAGCTCACTGTGATCTTGAACTCCTGGGCTCCAGCAATCCTTGCTCCTCAGCTTCCTAGGAAGCTGGGACTATAGGTGAATAGATGAGATTACAGGTGTGCACCACCTTGCCCAGCTGATTTTTTAAAAAAATTTTTGTAGAGATAAATTCTCACTATGTTGCCCAGGCTGGTCTTGAACTCCTGGCCTCAAGTGATACTCCTACGTCATCCTCCCAAAGTGCTGGGATTACAGGCATGAGCCATTGTGAGTGCCTGGCCATTTCAGCTTTGTTAATTAGCATCTACAATACTGCTTGATACATATAGTAGACACTCTGTATTTATTGAGTGACTCAATATGTTTTATTACAATTACACAACTATTACTTAAGTTAAAATTTTAATTCTAGGCCAGTTGTGGTGGCACATACCTGTAATCCCAGCTACTAGGGAGGTTGAGGCACGAGAATCACTTGAACCTGGGAGGTCGAGATTGCAGTAAGTCGTGATCATGCCCACTGTACTCCAGCCTGGGTGACAGAACAAGACTCTGTCTCAAAAAAAAAAAACACGAAAATTCTTTTTTTTTTTTTTTTTTTCGCTCTTCATTGGAGTTTCGCTCTTGTTACCCAGGCTGGAGTGCAATGGCGCGATCTCGGCTCACCGCAACCTCCGCCTCCTGGGTTCAGGCAATTCTCCTGCCTCAGCCTCCTGAGTAGCTGGGATTACAGGCACGCGCCACCATGCCCAGCTAATTTTTTGTAGTTTTAGTAGAGACGGGGTTTCACCATGTTGACCAGGATGGTCTCGATCTCTTGACCTCGTGATCCACCCGCCTCGGCCTCCCAAAGTGCTGGGATTACAGGCTTGAGCCACCGCGCCCGGCCCAATTCTTTTTAATTCTAAAAGTTACATGTTCATTGCAAAAACAAATCAAGCAACTTATAAACATATGAAATATGCTATGAAAATCTTTTGTCTTTCTACCTTCTTCTCCCTGCCAGCTCCATGAAGTAACAAAAATTTTATTGGTTTCTAGACTTTAAAATCTTTTCTGTGCATATACAAATAAATAACTCTGTGTGTGTGTGTGTATGTGTGTGTGTGTGTGCGCGCGCACGCATGTGTGTGTATGTGAGCCATATTGTTTGATAGTGTACAAGGCATTTTTTCCTATAATTTAGCTTTTTCATTCAATAATATATCAATAATATCCTTCAATGTCAATACATGCAGATTTAATACTTTAAAAAATAGCTGTATAGTTTTCCACAGTATCAGTATACAATAATGTATTTAACTATATATACTTCTGGCATTTAGATTATTTCCAGGTTTTTTTTTTCTGGGTGAGGAGTGTGAGTGCCCTTTCTCTCTTGCTCTCTCAATTTCTTCCTTTTTCTTTTCTTGCTATTGCAAATCATGCTGCAATGAACATCTTTGTCTCTCAGAAGTTAGTTTTGTGTTTACATATGATGGGATAGATTTTTTAAAGTCAAAAAGCTGAGGATATTTTTGTGCATTTAAATTTTTGATAGGTACCTCAAATTGTTCCCACAATGCTAATGCTAATTTCTATTTCCATCACTGGTACATGGATGAGGATTATCCCCTCCACCCTCAACATCATTGAGTAGTATTCATATTTTTAACATTTGCCAATACGATATGCAAAATGGAGTCTGGTGCTATTGTTGACTTTTTTTTTTTTTTTTTGAGACAGGGTCTCTCTATGTTGCCCAGGTAGGACTCAAACTCCTGGGCTTAAGTGACCCTCCTGCCTCAAGTCTCCTGAGTAGCTGGGACTGTGGGCCACTATTCGTGGCAGGTACTGTGTTATTTTAATTTCCATTGTCTAGTCAGTTGTGACTTTGAATGTCTTTTCTTTATATTTTTATGTAATATTTAATATAATTTTATATTAAATTTTATAATGTAATATAATTAATATATATTTTTATATATATACTTTTTGTGAGACAGCAATCTGACTTTGTCACCCAGGCTGGAGTGTAGTAGCATGATCTCAGCTCACTGCAACCTCCCTGACCTCCTGGGCTTAAGTGATCCTCCTGCCTCAGCCTTCCAAGTACCTGGGACTAGAGGCATGTACCACCACACCTGGCTATTTTTTTTTTTTTTTTGGTAGATACATGGTTTCATCATGTTGCCCAGGCTGGTCTTGAACTCCTGAGCTCAAGCAATCTGCTCATGTTGGCCTCTCAAAGTGCTTAGGACTAAAGGCATGAGCCATTGCACCTGGCTGAACGTCTTTTTATGTACTAATCATTTAGGCTTCATCTTTTGGAAATTGACCAAACACATTTTTAAGCTACTTTTCTACTAGATTTATCTTTTTCTTACTGAATGATAGGTACTCTTCAATATTCCTAATATCCATTATTGAAAATGTTATTATATTATTATTGTAGTTATCTTTATTGACTACACGGCAGGCTCTTTCCATGCATTATCTCATTTCCAGCTCACAAGTAGATAATGTTATCCTTATTTTAAGGTAAAGAAATGAGGCTTAGTTATGTAAAGTATTCAAGTATAGTGAGCAGGTATTCTTTTTTTTTTTTTTTTTTTTTTT